AAAAAAAAAAAAAAAAGAAAACATCTTTAGTCTGTTCAATGTATCTGGCAGGCCAGAATAATTACTTTGACTGCTGTATTATTTTTATCTCAATTCTGGCTGACTGTATATAGATGTACTCACTAAGTGCTGCATGTCCTTCAGAACTTCTTTCTGTATTATGAACTGGAAAAAAAATACAGCTACTGAACACTCGGAGTAACTAGTGAATTCATTGAAATGCTACAGCCTTGTACGGCAAACCATCTCTTGCTCTACAGGTGGCTCTGGAACTGATTACCAGGGACTATCTGCTTAATAATGGGTTATCAGTGAATGTTTTGAAGCTACTGCTAGAGGCAACTGCTTTTCAGACACTTGCTGCAGTATCAGTTTTGAGGGAAAAACCTCCGATCTAGACCTTACCAAAACCAGAGACTAGTTGCACTGTATACACTCAAAAAGGACCCCATGATAAATCCTTCGTTCTGTTCCATATATACATGTGATCAGGTATGCAGTGTGGGGTATAATTACACTTAAAGAAAAAATAAGCAAGAAAATATTCAGATTGATTGCTTGAGAATTTAGTGGAGGACACAAATATATTCTACTACTCAGAAACTAAGATGGGACACAAAAATGTGAGTCTTGTCATGAAATATGGTGGCTAATACAGTTTTAAATAAGTTATAAAAACTTCACATAGCCATGAAACACTAGGGTTTCTCATGCTCATTAACATGGAAACACAGCAACAATTTATGTGGTACCATGACAGGCAACAGGACTGAGATGGACCCTGCTCTCCGTTCTCCTCTTCCCCAAGGAAAACTCCATTCAATGAGCTACCAACGAGTACGAACACAGCAAAATATATCCTGGGGTTATTTGAACAAGTTTCTTTTTAAAATTTTAAGATTAAATATGTTGAATTATTCACTTTTATTGATCTTTAGACTATATTCATCCATGTTGCACACAATCACAGGAAACTAACAGACATCAGAACATGTAGGTGACTAGTTTGACCTTTGCTATGTAAAATAATAACTGCAGCTCACAATAATCTTGAATAATCCTTTATTTTGAGTATCAATTTCCATAATTCTGATCAGATGATACGCATATTATTTAGAAGATGTACCCCATCTCTCTACCAGACACATGCAAAAATGAAACCCAGATTTCTAGAAACGAAGATTTGTCCGATCATGGTATTTCTGGTAGGGATCATCAACATACCAATTCCTTCTTTTCCAGAAAGAAGTGGTCATTTTATCAAGGAGTTTACATTGTGTTCTATTGCACAACACCAGCTCTCTCAAACGCTTCCTCTGGGCAGCTGACTTCTTCCACAGTTTCTTCTTATAACCAGCCTGTCAGAAGAAAATACACAAAAGACCTGTAAGATACACATATACAGCAATATTGATAAGCAAACCAGGACAAATTCCCTACTTTCAGGAAGATGGGTCTCTCTACAGAGCTTTTTTTAACTTCCATACTAGCTACTGCCCTCTAACAGAATGGAAACAATTAGCCCACTGAATGTAAAGAACACTCTAATATCAAAAAAGTCTTACCTTTCTCCTAACCCAAAGGCCATTGTGCAGCCGGAGAAACCTCTTGATGACAGCTTTCACAGTTTTCCTCTTCCCCTTCCGCAAGCTATAGTAAGTGACAGTCCTCGCTGGCTGTTGAAGTATACTTGGAAGTAGAGATGTGACACTAAAAAACCACCCCAAAACACAGAAAAAATAGGACAGGAATGAAACATCCTTTTTATAAAAGTAATCATTGGCTTTTTCAGATGCAGAGAAATCAGAAGTGGCTGGGACTTGTTAGAAAGTTAACAAGAACTCATCTAACATTACAGCACACCACTTAATGACTGTGTCTGCACGAACACTAACGGTGGTGCTGAACTCCAGTCAAAATGAATCTGCTATTCCATACAGAACAGCTTTTCTCACCTACTAGAAGCGGTTAAACACGCAAGATAAAACATTCAGCTGGTTTTGGCACTCAGAAATTATTTTTAGAATATTAATCATCAAGAGAAACAGTGCTGGTTATAAAAGGTTATTTGTAAGTTGGTATCTGCAAAGTCTATCCCGTTCTACAGCCTGTTTCAAGCATCACGCTCAACAAAAGTGGGAGACTTAGGGCTGAAATAGAGACCCGCTTGCTAAAGTAAAAAGCGGCCCAAGGAGTTTCTCAGTGATTTATATAAACCCCCGTTTAAGCCTTTCTATAAAGCACCGCGCAGACTGTACCTGCTGAGGACCGAGGAGATGCCTCCCCCGGGCAGGTTCGCCACGGGCAGCCGCGGCTTCCACAGCGGGGCCGCTACCTGTGCCCGCACCTGCCCGACACAGCGGGCGGAGAAGCCGGAGAGGGCGCGCCCGGCGCCGGGGCAGCGGGTGGCCCAGGGGGCCCAGCGCCCCAGGATCCCTGCGGAGAGCCAGACCCTCAGGAGATGCCCCGCACTGCCGCCCCGCGCTGTCTCCGCTTGCCCCCGCCGGCAGGCCCGGCCCCCGC